GCTCTGGGAAAGGGCAGGATCCCTGGAGCCAGGCTTTGACCATCCCGATGTTATTTGCCATCCAAGACCTCTACTTTTTCCTAAAAACTACCGTCCACGATCAGTGTTTTCAGCTCACTCAGAAATTGCTTCCAGTGTGCAAGCCTAGATTTCAGAGCTGGAAAGGCACTCGGGAGGTCATCGGGTACAGCCCGGGATTACCCAGCTTTATTGCTGATGCAGCTCCCGCCTGCGTCCCGTGATGAGCAGGGAACTAGGTGTTCTGAACCAACCCCCCCCCCCCCCCGCCGCCCTATGATCTATGTCTCTCCCACTTCACATTGTCCCCTGATGACACCAGACTGCTTTAATCACGTGCAGTCTCAGGGCACCTGGGTGGCTCCAGAAGTTAAATGTCCAACTCTTGATTTTGGCTCAAGTCACGATCTCGGGGTTTTTCATGAGTTCAAGCCTCACGTCGGACTCTGAATTGACAGTGCAGAGGCTGCTTGGGATTCTCCTTCTCGCTCTGCCCTGCTCTTCCCTCTCTTCCCAGAGAGCTCGCGTTATCTCTGTCTCTCAAAATAAATAAATAAACTTTTAAAAATAGGTAAATTTTAAAAATCGCATGCAGTCTCTGTCCTTGAGCTCCTGGGTGGAGCTGACTGCTAACTCATGCCACATATCCCTTCCCTGAGCCAAGAATCCTGGTTGCCCAGCAGTGGCCCCCATGTCCTCCCTCCAGTGCTCCCCACTGCCCTCTGTACCCAAGCAACTAGTGGACCATTGTGTTCCGGAACATAGGGCTGGAAAAGTAGACTCCTTTACACACTGTGAGGCAGGTGGCCAGACTGCTGCTGTCTTTGGAAGGTTTGGGGCCAGGATTGACCAGCAATCCAAAATAAATATCCATTGGGCATCTGCAGTAAGCAAGACTTTGGCAGACACTTTATGTCTTTGCTCCATACCGATGGAGACTGCACTTTCCAGGCTCCCTTCCCAACTGACTTCTTAATAGGCTTGACCAATGGGCAGTAGAGCTGGAAGACTGGAAGGCAGAAAGAAGGAAGACCAGGGTATTGCCCCCTCTTCTCCACCTTGTTTTCCATGACCCCAGCTCTTGCCATTCTACACCCCACTGTCATGGCCACCCCGTAGCTCCAGTGCTGTTGCCAATCTCTGCGTTGTTCCATTGTTCCCCATTTGGCCTCTCAGCTCTTCTTTTCAATTAGATAAGCAATTCCCTGTATTCCTTTTTTTTTTTTTTTTTAAGTTTTAAAAAAATGTGTTTATTTTGAGGGGCTCCTGGGTGGCTCATTCGGTTAAGCGTCCGACTTCAGCTCAGGTCACGATTTTACGGTTAGTGGGTTCGAGTGCCGCATCGGGCTCTGTGCTGACAGCTCGGAGCCTGGAGGCTGCTTCCATTTCTGTGTCTCCTTCTCCGCCCCTCCCCCCACTTGTGCTCTGTCTCTATCTCTGAAAAATAAATAAACATTAAAAAAAACTTTTTAGAGAAAATTTATTTTGAAAGAGACAGAGACAGCACAAACAGGGGAGGGGCAGAGAGAGAGAGAGAGAGAGAGACAGAGAGAATCCCAAGCAGGCTCTGCACTGCCAGCACAGAGCCAGATGTGGGGCTCAAACCCATGTACCATGAGATCATGACCTGAGCCCAAATCAAGAGTTGGACACTTGACCCACTGAGCCACCCAGGCACCCCACAACTGGCAGTTTCTGTTTTCCTAGCTGAACCTTGACCATTAAATGACTCATGTAACATCTGGCCATCAGGGAACTTATAATGGGTTGGAGAATCAAGAATTTAATATACGCAAAACGCTAGTAAAATGTACAGATTCCATGAATTTACTAAAAAGTCACAAAACTGTACATTTAAAATGGGTGAACTTTACATTATGTAAATTATACCTCAATAAAGTTGTTCTTAAATATCCAGGGTGGGGCAGGGGGGAGAACTATCCAGAAACAAATAAAGGAAAATGTAGGGTGAATAGATTAGACCAGTGATCTCCAAACACTTTTTATTTTTTTTATTTTATTTTTTTTAGATTTATTTATTTTTGAGACAGAGAGAGAGACAGAGCATGAACGGGGGAGGGTCAGAGAGAGGGAGACACAGAATCTGAAACAGGCTCCAGGCTCTGAACCATCAGCCCAGAGCCTGACGCGGGGCTCGAACTCACGGACCGCGAGATCGTGACCTGGCTGAAGTCGGACGCCTAACTGACTGAGCCACCCAGGCGCCCCTCCAAACACTTTTTACCATTATCACCTGAAAAAAGAAATGAAGTCTGAGTATGCACTTCTAATATTTGTAGACTTACTTATTTAAATTATATACATGTTAAACTCTGTTAGTATATGATACCTTATAAAAATAGTTGCAAGGGTGCCTGGGTGGCTCAGTTGGTTAAGCATCTGACTCTTGATCTCCGCTCAGGTCGTGATCTCACAGTTATGAGTTCAAACCCCGAAATGGGCTCTGCACTGTCAGTGCGGAGCCTGCTCGGGATTCTGTCTCCACCTCTCTCTCTACCCCTCCCCCACTCGCGTCTCTCTCTTTCTCTCTCTTTCTCAAAATGAATTAACTTAAAAAAAAAGACAGCTGCAAATGAGCAATTTAAATAGATAAAAAAAAACATAGAAATTCTAGTAGTGATTTCTTGCTTTACCTGAGTGGATCGTCTCATACATCTCTTCAGATGCCTGAACTCACTTTGAAACCACTCCCCACTAAAGTAGGCAATCAACAAAGAGCCTGTAAGGGGCTTCCTGAGCAGGAGAGATGGGAGATTTCTGTTTTTTTCTTTCCTTTTCCTTTTCCTTTTTCTTTTTCTTTTTCTCTCTTTTTTTTTTTTTTTTTTTTGGAAAGGGCCTACGCAATGCTCCAGTAGAAGCCACTACTTTGCCATTTACATATCCCTTTACAGTTTTCATGCGTTATCTTATTTGCTTTCGCAAATAAAGAGGAATCTTGAATGCCTGCCCGAGAGGAGTTTGGACCTGATCACTAAGGCACTGCTGCCATATCAGATGCACCAGATTACAGAAGGGATATTTACATCCCAAAGCCCCCCACGGATGATCAGCTTCCCACTTCCTTAGGAGCCACAGAAGGAATGGTGCGGGTGTCGCCCCTGAGCCCATTCTAAGTGCAGAGCCCTCGAATAGCAGGTCCCATTTCTCTGAAGGTCAATGAAACAAGACAATGAGCTCTCCCACTCAGGGATTCATCTTTCAGCACTTCAGAATGACTGTAGCAAACATAGTCCTGCCCTTTCTCTTAGACTGCTTCTTCATCCAGGTAAATATTATCCACGCACTCATTTGCCAAAACGATGCCTTGTAGGTTTATGTGGACCTCCCAGCCAGGAGCTTGTATGTAGCTGTTTTCGCTCCAAGGTGTTTTCCCCGATTCCTGTATCTCTCCAGCAGTCGTGCTCTGCAGGTCATGTTCTACGCGCCACATTCCGCTCCATTGCCAGGGAGCAAGGCTAGACTTTGACTTTGTACCGGTCCTTCCATCTCCCTTTTCCCCTATCCGTCCTCCCACCAGCTGAGCTCTCACTGCAGGAGCATTATGAGAACCTCACGGGATGGCTGGCAGGACTGTGTTCAGAAAAGCATAAAGCTGCTGTCTGTAGAAGCCACCCTAGGGGTTGGGTAGAGGTAGCCGATGAAGCAGTGGAAATAACTGCATTATTAAGTGCTGAGGCTCCTGTCATTTTCCTGCTGAAAAACATTCAGTGACTGTCCTTTAACCACAGTCTGAAGAAGGTCAGTTAATGGTCTCTGTCCATAAAGAGGTGATAGCAGCTTGTCTGGTGGGGAAGAGAGCCTGAGTCCTCTCAGTACCATTGTGGGTGTTGCCACAGGACCTGAGCCAAAGAGAGATGAATATCTATTTATAAGACTATGCATAGGGGCACCTGACAGCCTCAGTCGGTGGAGCATGCCATTCTTGATCTTGGGGTCATGGATTCGAGCCCCACGTTGGGGGTAGAGATTATAATTTAAAATTTAAGAAGTAGAAGCACGTGGGTGGCTCAGTGGGTTAAGTGTCCAACTCTTGATTTCAGCTCAGGTCATGATCTCACGGTTCGTGAGACCAAGCCCCACGTCGGGCTCTGTGTTACCAGCTTAGGGCCTGCTTGCGATTGATTCTCTCTCTTCCTCTCTCTCTGCTCCTTCCCCCCCACGCCCCCCCCACCGCCGCCCCACACAAAATAAATAAACTTTAAATAAATATATATATATAAGAAAATAAATAAAAATTCAATAAATAAGTAAATGAAAAGAATATGAATAACATCCTCAAATTGAGGCCTTGGTCTCATGTTAGGTGATGCCATAGATCAATGCACAAAAAACAGACGTGGGAGGAGACAGGTCTATGGCGCGGCCAAGTGGAGACACAGATAAGGTGCAGATTAATCTACAGAGACTTTTATCCTGAGGCCAGCCCCACGTGGTGCAGCCCCATTGGAGAGAAGATGTTGCTGGCTCCCTAGTGCTAAAACGTCTTTGCTTTGCAGTCAGAAAGCGTGGGTTCGATTCCAACTCTAACAATCTTGCAAGCAGTCTTCTCAACTTCCTCTGTAAAGGCTCCCTCAGCAGGTGTTCATGAGATTAAATGAAGTAACATAGCTTCGTACTTTTTATCAAAGCGCTATTGTTACTATTCTTACATATCATTCGGCTGTGTCCACATTTGCTGTTAACCCATATGTCTCCCCAGATCGTCTCTGGTGTGTTTCCTCCCCTCAGCAGCGAGCACAAAGCTCCAAAAGTGTGTCGTGTGAAACTGTGCACCGATTTCTCGTTGTGTCACGCTTCTAAAACTCTCTTTCGCCGAAATCTGGATACTTAAGGGTGCTCCCCTGCCCCCATACAATTCCTATCACAGGACTGGCACACTCCTACCAGAGCTTAGGGAGAAGTTCACACCTGATTAGAAAATATGTTCAAGTTGTGCTTCTTCCTTCTTTCCTTCCTTCCAGGGATTTCCCAGATGACCCAGGTGTGCGGTGGGACACAGAGCATGTGGCTAGCACCCTCCTCCAGCACATAGAAGTGAACAGCATCAACCTGGTAAGGGGATGCCCTCCTAGAATGCAAAGCGGGGGGTCCCAGGCACACCTTGACTATGGCTGCCCTCCCACATCCAGAGCTTCTCCAAAACCACTTCAAAAAGAGATCCCCCCCACCCGGCTCTCTTTTCAACCTTCAGAGTAACAAACACACCTTTTGTGGAACCAAATTATCAGGCTCAGATAGAGGCAGAGGTTTTCTTTCCAAACTGTCCTCCTTAACCATCCCCACCCCAACCTCTGTCCCGCCACCTAAACACCCAGGGCCCCTGGAGCCTGTGCTATGTGTGACGCGTCGTGCAGAATTTCGCCTTTCACGAAGCATTGTCACGTTTAGAGGGCCGTTCTAACTCTAAGAGATAAATATTGTTATAGTTCTCATTTGACATGGAGGAAACTCGCGTTTCCAGAGGCCGAGCAGCTTGCCCAAGGTCAGCAGGTGGGGAAGCTACTAGGATCTTAAACCTCAATTTCTCACTCCAGAAAAGCACACGGATAAATTCACATGCCCTACATGGAGGACATTTTGGTCACAGACAGGGCAATGATGGAGATTCACACTTACTTGCCGAGGTGAACAAGTGTGGGGGCCCCCATCTCAGCTCCACCAGGATTGCCTGGACTGGCTGTCGCCAGTGTTTGATGTTAAGGCTTTTCAGAAGGCTTACTGTCCACTTGTAAGATAATAATAATAATAATCCCTCACGGGTTAATGCCTAAAATCCTACCACTTAAAGCCCTAATCTTTTGGTTTAAGTTTTGATGAGTCCCGCTGGCACACAAACACGTTAGGCTTTTATCAATGCTGAATTCACTGAGTAAACTGATTTATTAGACTTTTTTTTTCCATGTTTATTTATTTTTGAGAGAGAGAGCGAGAATCAGCATGAATGGAGAAGGGGCAGACAGACAGGGGGACACAGAGAGACAGCCTGCTCAAGCTGGCTCTGAGCTGTCAGCACAGAGCCCAACATGGGACTCGAACCCACGAACCGTGAGATCATGACCTGAGCCGAAGTCAGACACTTAAACAACTGAGCCACCCAAGCGCCCCATGACTTATTAGACCTTCCTTATTTATTTATTTATGTATTTATTTAGAGAGTGATACCAAAGGGGGGGCAGAGAGAGAGAGAGAGAGAGAGAGGGAGAGAGAGAATCCCAAGAATACCAACCACGCTCTGGGCTGTCAACACAGAACTCGATGCGGGCGGGGCTCAAACTCACGAACCATGAGATTGTGACCTGAACAGAGACCAAGAGTTAGACGCTCAACTGACTGACCCACCCAGGTGCACCCTATTAGACCTTTCCTAAGAACAGATTTTCGTTGACATATTGGTCAGATCATTTTTCTTTTTTTTCGTTTTTTTTTGGGGGGGGGGCATATTTCATGTAGCATTTTCTTTCTTTTGTCGGAGGGGCAGTCACATCTATCTATCTATCTATCTATCTATCTATCTATCTATCTATATTGAAGACCATCTTGTTTCCTCATGACACAAAACACAAATGAAACTTAGTCCACAGAGGCCAAAAGGGGCACCTAAGTGGCTCACTGTGATTCACATAAAGGCCGAGACGCAGGTGACGGGACTCTTCATCTTGCTCTGTGCGCTGCCTTCTTTCTCCTGGCTGGAAAAATGGCCACCAACAGCTCGCAGCACCACTCTTCCTAGCTTTTCCTTCCGGGAGGGTCTGAGTGTGAAAGCTGGAGGGAAGGGTCCACGGGCCTCGGAGTCAAATGCCCAGCCCCGCTGACTGGGCTTGCCTGGGTTCTCTTGGCCATCCCACCCCAGCCCACGCAGGCAGAACGTGGGCTCCACAGCCCCGAACAGGAGACAGAGCCGGTCTTCAGAGCCTGAAGTAACATAGTGTGGTCCATGAAGTGCTCTGCAATCCCCCTTGGGACCCCGTTTCCCCACAGTTGTGGCTTCCCCAGGACCTGTCCCCAAACACTCTCACAACTGCTGGTTTCCCCAGGAACTTCGCTTGTGAGATCAACTCCCATCTTTCTGAACTTGGCCCTCCTTGGTCTGGCCCTCAAGTACTGCACGCTGGTGGACAGGATTGGTCCTTGCTGAGGGGCCAGACCACGTTCGAGTTGGCCACAGCTCTGAGCACCCAGGGAGGGGTCTCAGAGCACAGATAGTTCTGCGTGCCATTTTGGCTCTCAGAACAGTCTCCTGAGTTTGGGTCCTAGAAAACTGATTTGCGATCCAGGCCCACCTCAAAGCCTCCTCCTCCAAGAAGCCTTCCCCGACTTCTTCAGCCCTCTTTCAGATTCCCACAGTATTTGATGTGTATCCTGCGAATTGCTGTTTATTCTTTGAAGTACAAGACTGTGTCTTGAAACTAGGCTGGAAGGTCCATGGTGGCAAGGGCTACACATGACACCTTTTTAAAAAAAAAATTTTTTTTTTAATGTTTATTTATTTTTGAGGGAGAGAGACAGAACGTGATCGTGGGAGGGGCAGAGAGAGAGGGAGACATAGAATCTGAAGCAGGTTCCAGGCTCTGAGCAGTCAGCACAGACCCTGACGTGGGGCTCGAACCCACGAACCGCGAGATCATGACCTGAGCCGAAGTCGGATGCTTAACCAACAGAGCCACCCGGGTGCCCCCGTGACACCTTTTATATCCCCAAGAACAAGAACAGACCCCACACGGGCCTCGTCCTCAAACTGCCACCACCGTCAACTGCCACCTGGTGGCCCGGAGCTCTTTCCTGTTGTCTGAGGTGCTCACCTTCATTCCAGTGAGTGAGAGGCCTTCATTGTCAGGACAACCCTGAGTTGATTTAATTTCCATACATAAGAAAACTGGTTTAAAAGAGCTCTTTAGGGGCACGTGGGTGGCTCACTTGGTTGAGCGTCCAAACTTCTTTCGACTCTCTGCCTCCCTCTCTCTCTCTCTCTGCCCTCCCCCCACTTCTGTGCACATGTGTGTGCTCTCTCTCTCTCTCTTTCTCTCAAAAATAAACATTAAAAAAATAAAATAATAACACTAAAACAGCTCTTTAACACACCTTGCTGTTAATAAGGAAACTCTCAGGGCCCCTGGGTGGCTCAGTCGGTTGAGTGTCTGACTTCGGCTCAGGTCATGATCTCACAGTTTGTGGGTTCGAGCCCCGCATCGGGTTCTGTGCTGACAGCTTAGAGGCAGGAGCCTGCTTCGAATTCTGTGTCTCCCTCTCTCTCTGCTCTACCCCGCTCATGTTCTGTCTGTCTCTCCCCTTCAAAAATAAATAAAAACATTAAAAATTTGAATAAATAAATAAGGAAACTCTCAAGCTGTCACAGTGCAGTCAGGAACAATTTCCCTGGCCTGCACTAGTACATCAGCGGAGTATAAGGCCATGCTAACACCATCGCCAGGATGGACATGAAGGGCCATAATCACGACTCAGCCCCCACGATGCGGTGAAATGCACCTTCCCACCCCCATAGGCCCTGCAGGGCCAGGGGCGAGGAGTTAGCAGTGAACAGGTGAGAAGTCACTCGATGGCAGGATCAGAGGGCCCAGGTGCCCCCTCCGGACCGGAAGTCTTGGCTGGACCTGGGAAGATAGAGTCTCACCTGGGCTGTGCTGGGATGATACCAAAAGTTCTCCTCTGTCCAAACCAAAAGCTGGCTCTGCAGTGGTTAGCACAGTGTGATGGAAGGAAACCGTGTACCATCTGGTCCCAGCTCCGCTGCCCGGACAGGGCCTTGAAAAGCGTTATAATGCTGCCCTTTATATAAAACAGTGTAGGGGGTTGGTAGTGTCTTTGGGTAACAAGCAGGCGAGGTCCTGGGCCCAACCCCTATCTCAACCTTTCATCCAACAAATATTTACTGACCACCTACTATGTGATGTTCACTACTGGCTGTGAACTTCGAGACAGCAGTGAACCAAACATACCTAGTCCCTGCTCCCTCAGGGCACCATGACACTTGGGACCACAGCCTTGTTTGCTATGGTTGACTGTCCTCTGCACTGTACATGCTTAGCAGCACCCCTGGCCTCTCCTCACTGCCAGCCCACCTCTCTACCCAGTGGCAACACCCCTCACTCATCACAGCAAATGTATCTCCAGACATTGCCAGATGTCCCTGGGGCAACACTGCTCCCCATTGAGAACCGCCATCTTTGAGAAACCAGAGCAGCCCCACTATTACCTCCTGTTGACTGGGGTCTGAGCAAGATTTCATCTAAACAAAGATCTCTGCAAGTAAGGGGGGAAAAGTGGATGGAGTTCTAGAAGGAGCTACAGGTGTCTGGGGTGCCTGGGTGGCTCAGTCAGTTGAGGGTCCAATCTCAGCTCAGGTCATGATCTCACGGTTCATGGGTTCCAGCCCCATGTCTTTGCGCTGACAGCACAGAGCCTACTTCAGATTATGTCTCCCTCTCTGTGCCCCTTTGCTCATGTTCTCTCTCAAAAATAAATAAACATTAAAAAATTTTGAAAAGAGGGGCGCCTGGGTGGCGCAGTCGGTTAAGCGTCCGACTTCAGCCAGGTCACGATCTCGCGGTCCGTGAGTTCGAGCCCCGCGTCGGGCTCTGGGCTGATGGCTCAGAGCCTGGAGCCTGTTTCCGATTCTGTGTCTCCCTCTCTCTCTGCCCCTCGCCCGTTCATGCTCTGTCTCTCTCTGTCCCAAAAATAAATAAATGTTGAAAAAAAAAATTTTTTTTAAAAATAAAAAAAAATTTTTGAAAAGAAAAAGAAAAAAGGGGTGCTTGGGTGACTCGGTTGAGTATCCAACTTCAGCTCAGGTCATGATCTCACAGTTCGTGAGCCCCGTGTCGGGCTCCATGCTGACGGCTAAGAGCCCGGAGCCTGCTTCAGATTCTGTGTCCCCCTCTCTCTCTACCTGTCCCCCGCTCATGCTCTGTTTCTCTCTGTCTCTCAAAAATAAATAAATGTTAAACAAATTTTTTTAATAAAAATAAAAATTTTTTAATAAAATAAAATGTAAATAAACTTTCTTTCAATCTGTATCCCCATCCCTCAACCTATGCTCAATAAATGTTAGCTGCTCTCATTTTAACATAGTTCTCCATACCTGAAGTAAACATTTTACGATTTAAAATAGAAAGGCCAGGGGTGCCTGGGTAGCTCAGTCGGTTAAGCAACCGACTCTTGATCTCCATTCAGGTCTTGATCTCAGGATTGTGAGTTCAAGCCCTATCCTCTCCCTTTAGTCCGTGCTGCATGGCCACTCTCTTTTCTTGGGGACAGCTTGCCTCTTTGCACTACCCCTAACCAACCACTCCTGTTCTTTTATGTGAGTCCTTGTTCTCTTTTTTATATTTATTTATTTATCTTACTCAAGCAAATTATTGTTATTATTCAAACTGCTATTTGGGTGTTTTTTTAATCATCTGTGCAGAAATGAAATGTTGGAATCTAGACTAAGCTTATCATTAATAACAGATGATACGGGGGCATCTAGGTGGTTCAGTCAGTTGAGTGTCAGACTCTTGGTTTCAGCTCAGGTCACGATCTCACAGTTCCGTGAGTTCGAGCCCTGCATTGGGCCCTCTGCTGACAGCACAGAGCCTGCTTAGGATTCTCTCTCTCTCCCTCTCTCTGTCCCTCCCCCACTTGCTTCTCTGTCTCTCTCAAAATAAATAAATAAACTTAAAAAAAAAAATAGGTGGGACGCCTGCGTGACTCAGTCGGTTAAGTGTCCGACTTCAGCTCAGGTCATGATCTCACAGTCCGTGGGTTCGAGCCCCGCATCAGGCTCTGTACTGACAGCTCAGAGCCGGGAGCCTGCTTCAGATTCTGTGCCTCCCTCTCTCTCTCTGCCCCTCCTCCACTCTACTCTGTCTCTCTCCATCTCTCAAAAATGAATAAATATTAAAAAAAAAAAAAAAAGATGATACAGAGGCAGTCCATGAGCAAATAAACTTCTATGATTTTAACCCCGGTGCATGGTAGACATTGCCCCTCAAAGCCTCTGCGCCCTCAGTATGGCACAAGGAAAAGAAGCCAAAAGATTCAGGCAGCGTCTACATGCACAAGAGTTCACACAGCAGCCGGCCAAGAAAACTGTGTTCATAAACGGCCAGGAAGGTAAGAGGCAGAGATACCCTGAACTCAGGTTCCTATCATGACTGAATTCCACTCTGCTCCACTGGCCTGGAACAAGACTAAACAGTAAAACCCACGGAAACAGTCTCCACACAACTGGCCAAAGCAATGGTTACACACCACCGATCTGCTCCGAAGTGAGTTCAGGTGTCCTCGCGATTGCAAACGTTCCAGGGGTCTGTGCGCTCCCTTTCATCCCAAGGGAATGGGGACAGCTACTTGGAAACGGAGTCAGAGAGAGCATTCAGACAGTCATGAGGGAACACCCTGTATTTCTCTACAGGTGGTGACTTTCGACGCAGGGGGAGTGAGTGGTCACAGCAACCACGTTGCTCTATATGCGGCCGTGAGGTAGGACTCTCCACGCGTTGGAGGTGGGAGAGGGTCTTTTCCTTTGCTCAGGGTGGATGGATGGTTTCTAAAAAAGTTTTTTAAATATTTATTTATTCTTTGAGAGAGAGAGAGAAAGAAAGAGCACGAGCAGGGGAGGGGCAGAGAGAGAGGAAGACACAGAATCGGAAACAGGTTCCAGGCTCTGAGCTGTCAGCACAGAGCCCGACGCGGGGCTCGAACCCACAAACCGTGAGATCATAACCTGAGCTGAAGTCAGACGCTTAACCGCCTGAGCCTCCCAGGTGTCCCAAGATGGATGGTTTCTAAAGTACTTTCCCACTCGCTGTCTGGGCCCCGTGAAAGTGACCACTGAGTTAATAGAGAGCCACTCTTGTCCACGTTGCTCACGACATCTTACCACATTCTCTTGTGAGAAATCACTCCTAAGTTGACTTATTGTTTTGTCTCCTTAACACCTAAGGTGTTTTTCCCCCAGGGAAAAATGGGGTAACATTTTATTTCTCTCTTTGCTTTGGCCACAGAGAGCTTTAGGGCCAAATTCGTGACCCCTCGGAGCACATGTGGGAGACTTTCAGGGCTGAGTTCTGTGAATCGGTGTGCCTCTTGGCTTCGTCTTCTTTTTCCTCCTAATTTATTTTGTTTTCTCCTGTTGTGCATTCTGTACACTATTTCAAATCTACCAAATAGGTGTTTGCATTTCACTGATTAAAAAAAATTGCACCTCAAAGACATTTGAGGGACTTACAGAGGCTCGTACAAGCATGTACCATGTTTCCTACCCTCTAGAGAAGTGCTTCTCCTGGGCGTCATGAGTGGCGGAGCGGTGGACCTGGCTTAGCCACTGAGGACAGGAAGGGGCACCTTGAAGTGAAGCATTTACTTTATAACTTTCTTCTAAACACGCCTGATGTTCTTAGACCAGAGCAGTGAAATAGGTAAAGCTAGAAATGATCTCACCTATCCTTAAGTCCAACCACCTCATTTTTCAATTTCAAAAGAGAAAAACTTGGAAGAATCCTTTGTGGTTCCCTTCATCTCTAATGGGCGAAGCTTGGACCAGGGCACTTCATAACCATTGGTCAGCCCCCAGATTGTCTGGGGTAAGGTGCCCACCCTGATCCCTTTAGCTGTAGCCAGAGGTATGGAATCCCAGGAACCTCTTTGGTGATTGATGTAAAAGCAACTACCTAGAAACTTACAGAAGGATCACAGGATATGGCAGGCCCTAATACTGTTGGGGAGGAAGAAATTTTCCTCTGTCCAAGGTTCTTCTAGCTAGACTAAGAATTAAATTTCCATGAGATCATTAATAGGAAAAAATCAAATTTAATGTTGTCATATGGAGAATCTACACAAATATGAAATTCCAAAGATGGTCAGGCAACCTGAGGCTTATATGTCATCCTCAGCTCAGGAGGAGGGCGGGAGTCTGGAGGTACAAAGAAGAGGAAGAACATTAGCAGGAAGGTGAGAGGAGATGTTTGGAAAACAAAGGATTCCCTGTTATGCAGATAAGATTTTTAGGTAAAAAGCAATCTCTTTGACTAGTTCTCTTCCTGGTACAGACCCCCTTTCCAGAGCAAATTTAGGTGGTTGAGGGGGATATAAAGCGGTTTTCCTCAATTTGCTGGGTTTTGATTGCTTTTAACTCAAAATAATCTACATGCCATTGTGGCCCAAGTTGGAGAGGCTTGCCTTTGACCTCTACACTCTGAAGGCTCTTCCTGCAAAGGAATTATTGCTCCCTTTCACTCCTGTCCTTTCTTCTTCCAGGACCCTGCATTCAGAAGGGAAGTTACCTAAAGGTAAGTTGTCCCTTTTGCCAAAGTCTGCTAGTTACTATCCCTCTAAAAAAAACTTATTGGACAAAAAAAATGTAAATATGTGGAAAACTGCCATAGGCCAAGCAAAGGTGGGGCCGGGGAGGCTGGACCACACTCTTTCTGACCCAGTTCAGTGTGTCTGTCATTGTGGGTCCTCCAGCTTTAAAAGCAGGTTGTATCCATTGGGAAGTGCCCTGCCAGCCAGGCAGCCTCTGGGTGTGAGGGGAGGCCAGATGGGTTAGAAAACCAGAACCAATAGGAGATACAAATATGAAAGAAACTTATTATAAGGATTTGGCTCATGCAAGTACAGAGGCTGAGAAGTCCCACAGTCTAGCATCTCTGCAAGCTGGGGGCCCAGGAACCTGGGGGTCAGTTAGTGGGGTCCAAAGGCCTGAGAAGCAGGAGGGCCAATGGTGTAAATCCCAGGCCGAGGGCAGGTGATGACCCATGTCCTAGCTTAATGGGCAGAAAAGAAGAAATTCTCCCTTCATCCACCTTTCCTTCTATTGAGGCCCTCAATGGATTGGATCATGTCCACCCTCATTGGGGAGGGCAATCTGCCTTCCTGAGGCCACCGATTTGAATGCTAAGCTCATCCGAAAAAACCCTCCCAGGCACACCCAGAAATAATGTACAGCCCAATATCTGGGTACCCTGTGACCCAGTGAGGTTGACACATAAAATTAACCATGACTCTGGGCCTTGGCCGCTCATCTGTCTAGCTTTCTCACCAGGTGGGTCTTTTTCACCTCCAGTGTTCTTTCGGTCTGTCTGTCTGAATTCACATCCCAGCCCCCAATTACTTGTCAATGGCTGATGGGCGCTTGATGGGTTCATCTGTTTGAGTTAGAAGGTGTTTGACCCCACTTGACCATTCACTGTGTGACACTGATGCTTAACCTCTCTGAGCCAGTTTCTGCTCTGTCAGTGGGAGTAATATACATCCCTCAGGAGTGTTATAAAGATGAAGCAAATGAAAACGTAAGTGGAGTTCAGAGAGCTCGGCCCTCTGAATGGGCTGAGCTTACCAAGCTGTGAGGGCTTTAGAATGGGACTGTAGTTTATTCGATCCTCACATCAATGCTGTGAGACAGGCTCCCACACTGTCAATGCCATTTTACAGATGAGAAAACTGAGGCTCAGAGAGCTGAAGGGACTTCCCTAAATCTGTCGGGTCTTGAGGGCCAGAGCAGGAACTAGGTCTCTTGCCTCCCAATACAGAAATTCCGGTCTTCATCGCTTTTCCCTTGGCCTTGATGTAGCCAGTTCCCAACCTCTAGCAACCGACCTTATCTTGCTAAGGCATGTAGCAAGTAGAGGACATCCAGCCAGGTGTTCTGTGACCCTGTCACTCTTCCTGTCTGTGAGGATGATGGGCAAAACACAGCTTGGGTGCTACAGAGTCATCTGGCAACTCCATGGCCATGGTCCTGCCCTGCCCTGAGCCCCAAGGGAGAGGTAGGGCGCTCAGGGGGAATCTGCCTGGAAGCAACAAGACTCTTCACTTCTCCCCTCTCCCCTCCCCCCAACCAGGGTGTTCCGTGCTCACACTTCAGTCAGTGAATGTGTTACGCAAGTATATCTCCCTCCTGGACCTGCCCTTTACTCTGCTTCAGACCTGGGATGTCCTCTTCGTGCTCACCAGCAAAGAAGTGGCACAGGCCAAGGTGAGGATTGTGAATTCCTGGACTCCTCCCTCTGGATCTGTGTCCCAGACCCCCTGGCTCCTCATGACCCCTAACTGAACACTTTCCACAGCAGTTCAGCACCTGAGTGTTAGGACTATCTAGCTAGACCTTGGCAGTCATAGATTTTCAAGGAGTTCCACCTTTTCTTTTCTTTTCTTTTCTTTTCTCTTTTTAAAGATTTTTTTAAATCTTTTTGAAATGTTTATTTGAGAGAGAGTGAGTGTGTGTACACACGGGAGAGAGAATGAGTGTGAGCAGGGAGAGGGACAAAAAGAGAGGAGAGAGAGAGAATCCCAAGCCGGCTCCATGCTGTCTGTGCAGAGCCTGACTCGGGGCTCGATCTCACAAACTGCAAAATTATAACCTGAGCCGAAACCAAGAGTCAGACACTTAACCAACTGAACCACCCAGGAGCCCTAAAGATTTTGTGTTTAAGTAATCTCTACGCCCAGCATGGGGCTCCAACTTACAACCTTGAGATCAAGAGTCACATACTCCACCTCCTGAGTCAGCCAGGCACCCCCACCCTTTTTTCTGATTATAAAAATAACACACGCTTTTTTAAAAGTAAATAACAATACATGCTTATTGTAGAAAATCTAGAAATACATAAAAGCATCAAGAAGAAAATAAAAATAATTAATAAAAATTACCCACAGTGCCACCACTCAAAGGTAATTATTGTTAACATATGTCCTCTATATAAAGAATATTATATAAATATATATTTTTTAATTTTTTTTTTAAGTTCATTTATTTGTTTGAAGGGGAGAGAGACAGAGCATGAGTGGAGGAAGAGCAGAGAGAGAGGGAGACACAGAATCCGAAGCAGGCTCCAGGCTCCGAGCTGTCAGCACAGAGCCCGACACGGGGCTCGAACTCACAAACTGCGAGATCATGACCTGAGCTGCAGTTGGATGCTTAACTGACTGGGCCACCTAGGCACCCCTTTTTTATTAATTTTTTTAATGTTTACTTATTTTTGAGAGAGAGAGAACATGAACAGGGGAGGGACAGAGAGAGAGAGGGAGACAGAGAATGTGAAGCAGGCTCTGAGCTGTCAGCGCAGAGCCTGATGCAGGGCTTGTACCCATGAACTGTGAGACCCTGACCTGAGCTGAAGTTGGACATTTAACTGACTGAGTCACCCAGGTGTCCATATGTATGTATATATATATATATATATATATATATATTTTTTTTTTTTTTTTTTTTTTAATGAGATCACACAGTGCCTAATATTTAAAACCTATTCTAATATTATGCCTCTTTTCTTCTATGTCCTTAAGTATTTGAATTGCAATGGGTGTCTGCATTCCCTTGTATGGATGTACCACACAGCTTGAGTCTAAGGAATTGACACCTGCCGGGAGCCTCTGTGAAGGAGCCAATGTAAAGAGCCAGTAGGATAGACCGCCAGAGGCTTAGGTGTCTATGGAGGAAATGACAGGCCCAGTAAGGCCCTCGTAGCGAAAACCCTTAGCTGGCGGTAGGGCAGGTGATTCTAAGAACCATGGAGTTAGGGAGCAGGCAGTTAAGGAGGATTGCTCAGTTTGTCTACAGGCGTGACCCCCAGCTGACTTCAGTCCACCAGAAAGAGAAGAGTAGCAATGAGTAGAACTGAGAGAACTCAAGATAATGATTTCTTTTTGCTGCTTAGTTTTCTTTTCTTTTTTTTTTTTTTAATGTTTGTTTATTTTTGAGAGAGAGAGAGACAGAGACAGAGTGCGAGCAGGGGAGGGTCAGAGAGAGAGGGGGACACAGAATCTGAAGCAGACTTCAGACTCCTGAGTTGTCAGCATAGAGCCCAATGTGGGCTCGAACTCACGAGCTGTGAGATCATGACCTGAGCTGAAGTCAGATGCTTAACTGACTGAGCCACCCGGGCGCCCCTTAGTTTTCTTTTCTAAACTGTCTGCATTAAACATGGATACCTACCAAAGGCACTTTGCCAGATGTTGAACAGGCAACACTAAACGGAAATATGTGTTCTCCCTTGTTTATTTGGTAGGTCATTAATCTTTGTACTTTATTTTTGCCCTTCTACTTTACTCACGTTTGACACTATTTTTATTTTTTATTTTACTATTCTTTTAGTGTTTATTTTGGGAAGAGACAGAGAAAGAGAGAGAAAGTGCAAGCGGGAGAGGGGCAGAGAGCGAGGGAGACACAGAATCCGAAGCAGGCTCCAGGCTCTGAGCTGTCACACAGAGCCCGATGCAAGACTTGAACTCATGAGACATGAGATCATGACCTGAGCTGAAGTCAGACGCTCAACCGACTGAGCCACCAGGCACCCCGACACTTTTTTTTTTTTAATTTCTTGGCCCTTTTTTTTTTTCCATTTTCAGTCTTTTAAAATAATACACTTCAATACTATTAATTTCCCTTGAAGTATTCCTTTAGCTGCACCCGACAAGTTCTGATATGTGCTTTTTCTCCCACCATTCAGTTATAACTAATTTATAGTTCCCATTGTGAGTTCCTCTTTAATACATGAAGTGTTTAAGGGCGTATTTTAGAGTTTAAAATGCATATGTGTGATTAGATACAGTAGATCGTCATTACCCTCAAGTTCCACATTTGCAAATGTGCCTACGTGCTAAAATTTTCTTGTAACCCCAGAATTAATACTCCTGGTGCTTTTGCGGTCATTTGTGGACATGTGTATTTGCAAGGCAGTGAAAAGTTTTAAGTCACCACCAATGCACACACACAGGTTCCCAACTGTTGAACAAGGTGACCCTCTGCCTTCTCATTTCAGCTCTCCTACTGTAAACAAGTATCCTTTCCCAGTATATTTAGTGTCGCATTGTTCTCATTTTTGTTTTGTTGGTGCCTTTGTGGTTTAAAACGTCTTCTAAATATAGCATCAAAGTGCTGCCTAATGAGGCTAAGGGCGCGAAAGCTGTGATGTATCTTACAGAGAAAGTACTTGTGTTAGATAAGCTTCATTCATGTATGAGTTATAGCCCCATTAGTTGTGAATTCAGTATTAATGAATTGATAACATAATATTGAATAAGGTGCCTTCAAAAAAACGCAGATAAAACAAGGTTATGTGTTGGAGCACCTGGGTGGCTCAGTCAGTTGAGCGTCCAACTCTTGATTTTGGCTCAGGTCATGATCCCAGGGTCATGGGATCTAGCCCTGCATCGCTTGGGATTTTCTCTTTATCTCTGCCCCTCTCCCCTGCTCATGCTCTCTCTCTCTCTCTCTCTCTCCCTCTCAAAACACAAATCAAAACAAAACAAAAACGAAAACAAAAAACAAGGTTATGTGTTGATCAGTTGATGAAAATGTTGTGACCAGAGGCTCTCAGGAACAATGATTCAGTATTGACTAAATCAAGTGTCTGCAGTAACTTTATAGAACATAACTACCATAACAAGAATCAAGATATAGCCTTTTTATTGTTGACTTATAATTGAATTGCTTTCTGGTCATTACATGTGGCCTGTGTAATACTGGTTTTTAAAGACTTATTGAGAGTTCTTTAATGAATGACCTACTTTATGATCACTTTTTGTAAATGTTAACTTGTTTACCTGAAAAGTTTGTGTGTGCTCTATGCTTTGCATTTCAGACTCTAGATCTTACGAGTAGATCAAGCTTAGTACTTAGGTTGGTCACAACTTGTGTATTCTAACTACTTTTTTTAACTTTTTGATCTACTACTACTTTTTTGATCTACTATTTTGATACAAGTATGTTGAGATCTCTTCCCCTGAGTTTGCATTTGTCCATTTGTCTTTGTTTTTGCTTTATGTGTGTCTTGTGCACAAAAAGATCAAGGTCATTGTATCTTAGCAAACTATTCCTTTTATTATCCTGTGTCTCACATTATTAATGGTTTTGTCTTAAATTCTATTTTAATCTTAACATTGCTATGATAGCTTTCTTTGGACTTGTATCTACATGGTTCATCTTTTTTAATACCTTTTTGTTTTTTTTCTTTAAGTAGGCTCCATGCCCAGTGTGGGGCTTTTTAATACCTTTATTTTTATTTTTATTTTTAACCACTTGTAATTTTTAGATGTGTCTTCTGTAAGCAGCATATAGTTGTATTTTTTTCTTAATCCTTCTACGAAATATCTTGTTTCTTTTATTGAGGTGTAGTTGACATTTGTTTCTAATGTACCACATAGTGATTCAACAACTCTATACCTTATGCTGTGCTCAGTACAAGTGTGCTATGAAAGCAAGTGGGTATATTTGGTTTATTTTTATTTGTAACTATTGATCTATTTGGACTTTTTTCTACTATCTTATTTTGTGTTTTCTGTTTAACGTTATCCCCCGGCCCCCACCACCCTTTTCCTGCCTTCTGTTGGATCGGTCAAATTTTCCATGGCCCCTCTCCCTGCTTTCTCCCCCTCTGTTTTGGAAGCTATAGATGGTATTTCTGTGGTTAGCCCTAAAATTGTAATATCATTCATAACCATAAAATTCAAAGCAATCCGTATTTGTCCTCCCTGCCACCCAACTTTAGCAGGTTTTAATTGCTCATTGATCAACTCTGCCCCACTCTGTTACTGTACCTTATGATAGCATTGCTGATACCTACTAGATTGCTGGCCCTTCCCTGTTTCTTGTATCCCACACATTACCTCTGGGTTCACTTTTGCTGATGCCTGTTCTTCAGCATTTTTTAGTGAGGGTCTAAGGAAGGCAACTTCTCTTAGCCTTTGAGTGTTTGCATGTCGCCTTCTGAGTGAGGTTAGCTGGAAATAAAGGTTTAGTTTGAGTTATAGGCCCTCTGCAAAGGTGTTTGAAGATGTAACTCCCATCCTTATCCTTTGGCAACGGGGACCTGCTGTCATTGTAATCTTATTAGTCATGTACAGTTAAGCTCCTTTATGTTAATGTTTCAGGTTATCTTTGTGTTTCTGGGTTCCACAGTCTTATTACAGTAGGTCTAGGGTAGATTTGCTCATTTCTTCTGCCTCGTACTCTCAACCTGGGGACCTCTATCTGTTGGCAATTCTCCAAACTCCTCACCTATTTTCTCTTTAAACAGCACTTGGGTGAAGTTCCCTCCGTTCTCTTCCTGGATTCCTACTGAATGCATATTGAGGACTCTCAATCTTTTTTCTTTTAAGTTTATTTATTTAAGTAATCTCTACACCCAAAATGGGGCTCAAACTCACAACCCCGAGATCAAGAGCTATGTGCTCCTCTGACTGAGCCAGCCAGCTGTCCCTTGAGGACTCATTATTATTTTTAAAAAATATTTATTTCTGAGAGCATGATATTTTTGAGAGAGAGCATGAGTGGGGGAGGGAGACACAGAATCTGAAGCAGGCTCCAGGCTCTGAACTGTCAGCACAGAGCCCGATGCAGGGCTTGAACCCACAAACCATGAGAGTATGATTAGAGCCAAAGTCAGATGCTTAACCGCTTAACCAACTGAGCCACCCAGGCGCCCCCCTTGAGGGCTTTAAAAAAAAATTTTTTTTTTAATGTTTATTTTTGAAAAATTTTTTCAACATTTATTTATTTTTGGGACAGAGAGAGACAGAGCATGAACGGGGGAGGGGCAGAGAGAGAGGGAGACACAGAATCGGAAACAGGCTCCAGGCTCTGAGCCATCAGCCCAGAGCCCGACGCGGGGCTCGAACTCACGGACCGCGAGATCGTGACCTGGCTGAAGTCAGACGCTTAACCGACTGTGCCACCCAGGCGCCCCTATTAATGTTTATTTTTGAGAGCTAGAGATAGAGCGTGAACGGGGGAGGGACAGAGAGAGAGGGAGACACAGAATCCGAAGCAGGCTCCAGGCTCTGAGCTGCCAGCACAGAGTCTGATGTGGGGCTCGAACTCACAAACTGTGAGATCATGACCCAAGCCAAAGTTGGATGCTTAACCAACGGAGCCATCCAGGTGCCCCCCCACCTTGAGGACTTTTAATCTATGCTTTGTGTCTCCTAATTGTTCTTTCACATTTGTTCTCTATTTCAAATTTTGTTTTCGTTTCTAAAATACCTAATTTTTTATTTTACGACCACCTATTGTTTCACTTCCATTTTTTTAAATTTCATATTCTTTTTTTTTTTTATTGAGAGAATGCATGTGCATGAAAGTGGGGAAAGGGCAGAGGGAGAAGGAGGGAGAGAGGAGAAAGAGAGAGAGAGAAGAGAGAATCCCAAGCAGGCTCCACGCTCAGCACGGAGTCCGACGAGGGACTCAGTCTCACAACTGTGAGATCATGACCTGAGCTGAAATCAGGTGAGACACCTAACCGACCGAGCCACCCGGGTGTCCCGATAATTTAGTCTTTAAGCTGGTTTTCCTCCCACTTAGCTCTTTGAATGTCCAAAATGTAATCAGTCTTTGACAAATTGTTCTATGAAACTATCTTCATCTAAAATATATTCATGGTCGGGGCGCCTAGGTGGCGCAGTCGGTTAAGCGTCCGACTTCAGCCAGGTCACGATCTCGCGGTCCGGGAGTTCGAGCCCCGCGTCGGGCTCTGGGCTGATGGCTCAGAGCCTGGAGCCTGTTTCCAATTCTGTGTCTCCCTCTCTCTCTGCCCCTCCCCCGTTCATGCTCTGTCTCTCTCTGTCCCAAAAATAAATAAACGTTGAAAAAAAAATTTAAAAAAATAAAAAAAATAAAATAAAATATATTCATGGTCTAGTTGCTAATTTGATTACATCTCTTTCTTTGCATCACATTACGTCATGTCTCCAGGAATTCTGATTTGGAAACTAGGGGCTAGGTGGTTGACTTGGGGGATGTTACTCCCCTCTTCCTCCGTGCTCTCCCTCCTCATCTAGAGAGTTTGCAATTGCTTGAAGGCCAGAATCAGGTCGTCACTGGCAGTTCCAGTCACAGAGCCAGCAGGTAACTGTTCAGTGCTGGTCTCAAAGCATTCAGCTTGCTCTCAAAGCAGTCGGCGGCATTTTTTTCCCCCCAACCTCTTATCTGACGAGGGAGCCCCCGCCCACTCCAGCAGAGTCCCGGCAGTGAGACCCGAAGCAGAACTCCTGGCCGCCACTTTGCTCTGAGCCCTTGAGCCAGTAACCCTCTGCTTTGGCCTCTCACACCTCTGTCCACATTCTTTAAGTTCATGGTGCTCTTGGTGTTAGTTTTGACCCATCCGTGTCTCTTTGCATTTTCCTCTGTCATCGCTATGTGTTTGGAACAGGAAGCATGAATTTACCGCTTCCTCTTGACCAGGTCAGAACACCTGAATTATGTTGAGGATGAGAAAATTAAAAGTAAATACAGGGCACCTGGCTGGTCAGTAGAGCATGCGACTCTTGATCTCGGGTTCGTGAGATCAAACCCCACGTCGGGGGTAGAGTTTACTAGGAAGGAAAGGAAAGGAAAAAGGAAATAGAATTACCATATGATCCAGCAATCTGGGTTTATATCCAAAAGAATCGAAAGCAGGGTCTCAAAGAGATAGTTCCACATGTTCATTGTAGCATTATATACGCAATAGCCAACAGGTAGAAGCAGGCCCAAATGTCCATGGCATTTGAATGGATTAAGAAATCTACACACTTATGATGGGATATTATTCAGGCTTTAAAAAAAAAAAAAAAAAAAGGAATACCTGCTACGACATGGATGAACATCGAGGACATTTTGCTGAGTGAAAGAAGCCAGTCACAAAAGGACAAACACTGTGTGATTCTACTTATATGAGATATCTAGAGCAGTGAAAATCACACAAACAGAAGGTAGAATGGTGGTTGCCAGGGACTGGGGGAGGGGGAAACGGGGAGCTGGGTTTTAGTGGGTTTAGAGTTTTATTTTTGCAAGATGACACAGTTCTACAGATTTTTTATGCAGCAATGTGAATATGGTTAAAACTACTGAACCGTAAATGGTTATGATGGCAAGAGAAAGTTTTATATTTCGTGATTTCTACCTGTGGGTCTCAGAATCACAAACTGCGAGATCACCACCTGAGCCAAAGTCAGATGCTTAACTGACTGAGCCACCCAGGTGCCCCATATCTATGCGTATTCGTTTTTCTTCTCCCCCTCTTCCTCTTCCTCCCAGCTTACCTAATTCAGGAGAGTTTGAGCATAATATCCTAGCTTGCTTCCCACAAAACATCCCTGTATGTGTTATATATGCAACTTAGTGCAGCAAAGTAATTAAGAATGTAGGCTTGATTGGGGCGCCTGGGTGGCGCAGTCGGTTAAGCGTCCGACTTCAGCCAGGTCACGATCTCGCGGTCCGTGAGTTCGAGCCCCGCGTCAGGCTCTGGGCTGACGGCTCGGAGCCTGGAGCCTGTTTCCGATTCTGTGTCTCCCTCTCTCTCTGCCCCTCCCTCGTTCATGCTCTGTCTCTCTCTGTCCCAAAAATAAATAAACGTTGAAAAAAAAATAAAAAAAAAAAGAATGTAGGCTTGAGAACCATTCAGATGGCTCTGAGTTCAAATATCAGCTCCACCATGTACTAGCTGTTTGAGACTGACAAGTTTCCTCGTCCACTAACAAAAAAATGTAAGCAATAACAGTACTTAACTCACAGATAATGCATGGAGACTCCAGTGCTATAACTGCCCTTTGCATCACAAGATTTTTATCACATGGTTGTAAGTGAGAGATGGGGCGGGGAGGCAGCAAGTGGGGGCCAACCCAGAGAGGTTTAGTGAGTTACAGGAAGAAGCCAGATTAGGCCACAGTGTGTGAAATGTGTTCGTGGGCGTGCAAGGCACAAGTGAGCATGACAGAAGCTGCTCCAGTGCAAGGGTTTCTCAACTGGTCCTCTTGGATTCTTCTAGAAAGCCATGTCCTGCCACCGCAGCCAGCTGCTCTGGTTCCGCCGCCTCTACGTGCTCTTCTCCAGGTACATGAGAATCAACTCTCTGCACTTCCTCTGAAGCCTTGAAGAGCTTTCCGGTCCGCAGAAGAAAGGGAGAAGAACGAGCCCAGGAAGCCTGGCGACTGGCCGTGAGCTGGCTCGCCTCCCCGGGGCCGAGGCAGACAGAGCTCTGCTCATCCATGCCGTGAGCCTCTAACATATGTGGGGGGGGGGGGGGGGCGTGCTGGCCAACGGGTTGTCCAAGCTTGAGCTTCTTCGTCTGGGGGAAAAAAAAACCTACAGCAGCCCAAACCAAACAAACCCAAGGGTAATAACAGCCACCCTGCTAGATCCTCAAGTTCTCGTGAAAAACAGGTTATGTAAGGGCACAATGTATGTCAAACACATAGCACAGAGCCTGCTAGGATTACAAATGAAGGCAAAAGCGTGCTGACATCATCACTTCACAGAGGCCATGATAGAGTATTTTTACATCGTTTCCAAAGCAGGCTTGCCAAACACACACACACACACACACACACACACACACACACACACACACAGTCTTTATTGAACTAGTTCAACCATAATTCCTTTGATTAACGTTGTGGCCTATGTGTCAGATTTGAATTTAGAGGAAGTTCTCCATTTAGCATCACAGTCCTTAAATTGGGGCTCCCAAGGCCCCAACCCTGTGCCCAGCATTTCATACTGAGACTGGTATGATGTGGGCCCTGCCCTGAAGGAGCTTACAATCAAATACCTCAGCTCCCAGGCTTCTGGGGAAAGCCAGAAAAAGGAAGACAAATCTGGAACTGTTTTTTCTTTGTGTTTTGTGTTTTGTTTTTTGTAACACTCAAAAAGCGGATGTCTTTTTTTTTTTTTTTAATATTTTTATTTATTTTTGAAGGAGAGAGAGAAACAGAGCATGACTGGGGGAGGAGCAGAGAGAGAGGGAGACACAGAATCCAAAGCGGGCTCCAGGCTCCAAGCTGCCAGCACAGAGTCTGACGTGGGGCTTGAACTCACAAACCGTGAGGTCATGACCTGAGCCCAAGTCGGACGCTTAACCGACTGAGCCACCCTGGTGCCCCAAAAAGCGGATGTCTTAAAATTGTGCTACAAACAAAAAGACTCTGAGGCGTCTGGCTTGGAAGCCACTCCCACAGTCCAGCTACTGGTCCAGGGAGGTGGCCTGAGGCAGGGAAGCGCAGCCGTGAAGAGCTGGGGCTCCGCGTGCTGGTGAGCCTGGGTGTGAGGCCAGACTTACCAGCAGCATAACCACGGATAAGGTGTTTGGACCTTTCTCTGCCTCCATTGTCTCCTCTGCAAAATGGGGGACCGTAATGGTACCCACCTCGGAGGAGATGACGCCTGGTAGACGCATGGAAAGGGTCCGGCATGCAGTCGGGGCTCAGGAAAGATGAGCGGCTGGCGTTCTGAGGTCTACACAGTAAGCAGGCGTAAAGCAGAGGGACTAGAATGTGCGTTCAAGTCCCGACACAGAAAGGCTCTCGGTGTGCGTTGTCCAGTGGGTGGCCTCTTTGCCTGCCCGAAGGCCCGCAATTGCTGTCTCCATAGCAACAGGTTAGAGACCTGCTCACTGGAGCTCTCTTGAATGCCTCCTAGGGGCCAAAAGGGACCGAAAGGGCTATCAGGCCCCGAAGCTGGAATCTAAATGCAAGTGTGGTTATGTTTTCTGTCTACTTAAAATCTGTCAAAAGCTCCTAATAGCCTCCCGATGAAACCGTGACAAGAAGTAAGCCACTGATGCTGGTTAGAGTGTGGGGTCCAGGCTGCCTCCCGTCCTACTGCTGGCAAGACAGGCACTCAACCAGCTTCTCTGGACTGCGAGTCTCATTATGTGTTAAGAGCTTATAAAATACCCCTACTTGGGGCGCCTGGGCGACTCAGTTAAGCATCGGACTTTGGCTCAAGCTGAAGAGAGAGAGAGACAGAGATATATAGAGATATATATCCAAAATGTAATTACTGGGATGCCTGGCTGGCTCAGTGGGTAGACCGTGTGACTCCTGATCTCGGGGTATCGTGAGTTCAAGCCCCATGTTGGGTATAGAGTTTGCTTGAAAAAAAAAAAGGGAATTTCTAATTAGTAAGCTTCTCTTTCTAAAATGAACATTTATCGGGGATCCTGGGTGGCTCAGTTGGTTAAGCCTCTGACTTCTGCTCAGGTCACGATCTCACGGTTCGTGAGTTTGAGCCCCACATCGGGCTCTGTGCTGACAGCTCAGAACCTGGAGCCTGCTTCTGATTCTGTGTCTTCCTCTCTCTCTTCCCCTCCCCTACTCATACTGTCTCTCTCTGTATTTCAAAAATAAATAAATGTAGAAAAAAAATTAAAATGAACATTTATCATTTTAAAGGATTTTGTTGTTTATGAATGGTTATGATGTTATAGTACACTTTTGATATAATGTGAAGTTCTTAAAAAATGTGTGTATCCAGGATAGTCTGGATTTTGTATGGAAATGATTCATTAAAGAAAAACTGGCTAATACACTGCTGACAGACACTTAATGGTACAGCCTCTGTGGAAGGTAAAGTCACATACCCTCTGACCCAGCATTTCTGCTTCCAATGGTTTACATTGTAGATTTACATGTGGCAAAGGAGGGATGTAAGGAATGGACACTGTAACACTTTATAATAGTCAAATACTGAGCCAGTCCAAATGTCTATCGATTCAGGATTGCTTAAAGAAATGTGGGTATACCAATAAAACAGAATGCTGTGAAACTGTTAAAAATAATAAGGATGGGGGGGACCCTGGGTGGCTCGGTCGGTTGGGCGTCCGACTTCGGCTCAGGTCATGATCTCGTGGTCCGTGAGTTCAAGCCCCGAGTCGGGCTCTGTGCTGACAGCTCAGAACCGGGAGCCTGCTTCAGATTCTGTGTGTGTCTCTCTCTCTCTGCCCCGCCCCTGCTCACACTCCATCTCTCTCTCTCTCTCTCTCTCTCTCTCTCTCCTTCAAAAATCAATAAACATTTACAAAAATTTAAACAAACAACAACAAAAAAAAAAAAACAGTGAAAGCTGGGGCCCTGGCCCAGACAAAACACAGGTGTTTCTCAGGAGTGGCCAAATTAGTGATGTGGAACGTCAGGTACAGGGTACATCCTCAGAACCCAGGGGGAGGGGGGAGAGGAAATCATGATGGAAAAGGGACTTTAAAAATACATCTAAGGAAACAAACACACAAACAAAAACCTAGGAGTCCTAACATGTGAATAAGGGGAGTTTCCAGAATGAGAAACAGTTACAGATGGGGGATAATAAAGGAGAATTGACATCATCAGAAAGAGACTTGAGTGGGTGCATCAGCAGGGCTCCCCATGTTCTACCCAGCTTCTGTTTTTCACAAAGATACACACGTGTGCTGCAAAATGGTAAATTTCGAACTGGGGGCGGGAGATAAAAGCATTGTGAAGCCCCCCCCCCTCTCCTCCCCCGGGGCTCAAGGGGAGGCTGGTGGGGAAAAGCGGCATGCTGCGGGGCAAGAAGATGGAGACCAATACGGGCTCCCTCTGCGTTTTCAGCCTGGGCAAGGTGACCACCTGAAAAGTGTAGAATCCCAATTAACTAAGGGGAGAATAGGAAACAAAGAGAAACCTCAAAGCCTGCAGCACTAAGGAAAAGAAGGAAGGGAGGAAAGGAAGCATAAAATGTAACAAATGTAATGGAAATGATACGAAAAGAATGAAATCAGGTGTCAGTTACTTCCAAAAAAAACCCAAAAAAGAATGGTTAATTTCCCTAACAAAACCGAGAAAACAAAATCTAGCATCTAAAAGTAACAAGGAGAGGCTAAACGTAAGAGGATGAGCCACCTACCAGATGCCAAGCAAAGGCATACAAAAAGAAAGGGAGACAACATAAATCCAAATGTCAAAAATTGTTAAACCCAGAACAGGGGATATTTTAGAACAGTACTAGATTCACTCCATGAGAAGATATGCACCAAATATCACAGCAGCCAGATACATGAAATAAACTCCCAGAAATCCAAGTTCTTTATATTAAAAAAAAAAAACAAACTGGGCTGCCTGGGTGGCTCAGTCGGTTGAGCATCCGACTTTGGCTCAGGTCATGATCTCACAGTTCATGGGTTCAAGCCTCACACTGGGCTCTGTGCTGACAGGTCAGAGCCTGAAGTCTGCTTCGGATTCTGTGTCTCCCTCTCTCTCTCTCTGCCCCTCCCTGCTCGCTCTGTGTCTCTCTCAAAACTAAATAAAAACATTTAAAATTAAAAAAAACACAATAATAACGTAAGGCTTTAATATTCTTTCAGAATTTGGACAAATGAGGTTGGCAAATAGTAAAGACACAGCATTTGGATAATGTAAAGAACTTAGATAAAATCAACGTTCACTCCTTATGTAATAAAACATTTATAAAATCCAATTATTTATTAGCCCCTGAGAAATTCCTAATACATTTCCCAAAGTAGATTTTCCAGGCCACATTTTTTTTAAGTATAATTAAATAACTTTCTTTTTTTTTTTAACATTTATTTATTTTTGAGAGAGAGAAATAGAGCATTAGCAGGGGAGGGGCACAGAGAGAGGGAGACACGGAATCCAAAGCAGGCTCCAGGCTCCGAGCTGTCAGCACAGAGCCCGATGTGGGGCTTGAACCCACAAACCGTGAGATCATGTGAGCCGAAACCAAGAGTCAGATGCTTAACGGACTGGGTCACCCAAGCACCCCTGCTGCTATTTTTTTTTTTAATTTTTAAATGTTTTATTTATTTTAGAGAGAGAGAGAGAGACAGAGCACGAGCAGGGGAGGGGCAGAGAGAGAGGGAGACACAGAATCCGAAGCAGGCTCCAGGCTCTGAGCTGTCAGCACAGAGCCTGACGCAGGGCTCGAACCCATGGACCACGAGATCATGACCTGAACGGAAGTCAGACGCTTAACCGACTGAACCACCCAGGCACCCCAGTGGTTTCTGAAATATGAAACCAAAAGCACAAGCAAAACAAAAAACAGAAAACTTTGTGCTTCAAAGGACATTACCAAGAAAATGTAATGAGAAAAATGTTTTGCAAATCATATATCTGATTAGGGTCTAGTATCCAGAATATATAAAGAGCTCTTACAATTCAACAACAAGACAACCTAAGTAAAAAACAGGCAAAAGATTTGAATATACATTTCTTCAAGAAGATATCCAAATGGCCAACAATCACAAAAACATCATTAGTCGTGAAGAAAATGCAAATAAAAAACACAATGAGGGGCACCTGGGTGGCTCAGTTGGTTGAGTGTCTGAATTCAGCTCAGGTCATGATCTCACAGTTCATAGGTTTGAGCCTCATGTTGGGCTTTGCACTGACAGTGCAGAGCCTACTTCAGGTTCTCTGTCTCCCTTTCTCTCTGCCCTTCCCCCACACACTCTCTCTCTCAAAAAAAAAAAAAAAAAGAATAAACATTTTAAAAAATTAAAAAAAACAACAACCCACAATGAGATGCTACGTCATATCCACCAGGAGGGCTATGATTAAAACAGACCAACGAACACTAAATAACAAGTGTTGGTGA